GAGCACTGTGAATATGAAATAAAGGTAAGAAATTTAACTTCTTTTTAAAATGAAAGGTGTGTGTGTTAGAGTGGGAGGAGAGACAGAGAACTACAGGGATTCATGAAGAATCTAAGCTAGATGCATTTATTATAGGAAGCTTAAAACCACGGGCACTCTCTATGGATTTTACTATTATAAAATCAGCTCTGCGTTCTGTTGTCAGTTTGCCCACTGAGTCAATTGTGCGGATGTGGCTCTCGTGCAAATCCTGTATCAATGAGTGCATTTATTCCCCATGTACAAGATGAGCCAGTCCCGATAATAATAGTTTGATGGGAGAAAATTGTCCATTGCAGGGAGCCATAGTATCTGTGTTTCTATATATGCTTCATTCATCTTAATTTTGCTATTTTCTTTTTCACCGCTGCATAACAGATATCAGTCCTCGATGAGACGTGGACAGTATTCAGGCGGTACAGTCGGTTTAGGGAAATGCATCAAACATTAAAATTAAAATACCCAGAGGTAAGTTTCTAATTAATTTATATCTACATTTGTATTCATCTTGCCTTTTCTGCTCCAGGAACACACAATTTATTGTATTTCCACTAAAAATGATCCTTTCAGGATCTCTGCTACCATGATTCAGTCTTTTACTTACCTGTTGTTCCTTTTCCTTCTTTTGTCAGAGAAAGCGCTGGAAGGATTTTTGTGCTATCATTTACAAGGCTGTGTGTGTGTGTGTGTGTGTGTGTGTGTTTCACTATGAAGCCTACCAAAATTACAGAAGGATTTTGTTGTTTCTTATAATATCACTGAAACAAAAGTTCAAAATAGATATTTGGGGTGTTGGTTCCTTCTGAAATTTTTGAGTGTAGAGGAATTCATGAACATACTGAATCTTTCTCTGCATTACCTTTTTACCGTTTCTCTTGTATTTTCCCAGCATTCTGTTGTAGTTTTTAATTGTGAAAAATTCTATGTAATTTTCTGGGAACATGCATTTAATATATAAATACGATGATTTGCAGCATAAAATAAGGATTTGGAAACATCCTCGGTTAAAAAGAAAAAAAGAGTGCAGAAGAAAAACTAAGCAGTGGATCATAAAGTGCCTGTAATCCTCTTTATTTCACAGCTTCTGTTGGTTTCCTAGTAGCTGAGGGAAAACTTGGGGAGATCAGTGCAGGTCATACAATATGATAGTAGCTTTCCCCAGTCAGTGTGAGAATCTTAAAGGGGAAAGGATGGCTGCCTCCAGATGATCATTGTAGAGCTCAAGAGTGAAAAAGGGCACAATGATGCAGTTATGTCCTCTTTTTCAGGACAGGTGTTTTATCCATTAAGAACAATAGTTGCTTGGAGGTAATCTTTCTTTGGACATTTTATTCATAACTCTAATGAAGTGAACTTCAGAGTATTAGAGGATTACTGCATGATGCAGTATTCAACTGTCTGCCTCTTCTTGTATTGGTTTATAAATCAGTTGTGCACATTCACCACAGAAGTTCACAAATGTCTTCTGATCTAAAGTTACAACAGAAAGCACATTCTCTCTTCACTACAAAATGACACACACACACCCCTGCCGCCAACAGTGTTTTAATACTGTAATTGACTGAGGTGTCTTTTTGAGTATTTGCAGTTAAATTAGTTAAGAGAAGCAGATCTTAAAGGGAAACGTGCTAATTTAACAGTACAGTGGTACCTCAGTTGTCAAACGTAATCCATTCCGGAAGACTGTTCGACTTCGAAAATGTTCAAAAACTGAGGCGTAAAGGGTGGTCGGCAAAGTCAATGGAAATAGAAGAAAAACACACAGCGGAAGCTGTTTGACTTCTGAGGCGTGTTTGAAAATGGAAGCAATTACTTCCAGGTTGTCAGCATTCGAAAACCGAAACGTTCGGCTTCTGAGATGCTTAAAAACCGAAGTGCCACTGTACTTAAATTCAATTTCTATATATGCTTCGTTGTAGAAGCTCCCGTGTTTCTGTTGTCGTGTTCCTGGGCACTGACAATTTTCTGAATCCCTGGTTTATGGTATAGAAGTATCTAGTAGTTTAAAAATGCATACAATAAGCCTGCAACGTATGAGCATTTAACTTGTGTGCATTCAGCTTTACACGCTTGGCAAAAAAAGAAAAAAGAAATGGAAAAGTGGGGAAGGCGTCCAGGAAAAAAGACTTTGGCAATCCCACCTGTCACTGAACCCAGTGTGCTTTGACTATATGAATTTTGGCTTTAGGCACATTCCCCAGTTCGTAGCCCCAACATAAGTTGCAGGCTTATTGTATTTGCATATATTTGTAAATGAATATAATGCAGTTTAAATGTCTCTGTGAAATGGTATGCTTCTGTATGTGCCCTTACTTTTTGATCCAACCCCATGATTACAGAGGTTTTTGGTGAGCTTTAAAATAGCACTCTTGCTATTTAAGTAGAAGAATGGTTAAAGTTCCAGAAATTCAAATATCTAATGTCAAAAGTGGGGGGGGCGCAGAATCCCAAATCCTGTGCGCTCATTATTTTAGCAGGGCTCTTTTTCACAATCTTCTAACTCCAGATTTATATTTATTGTACATAGAGAAATGCATGCATGCTTGCTTAATTTATGCAATGTCCTGTAGAGGTGAACTTTATAGCTCATTAGCTGTTCAGTTCTGGGCTACTGCCTCTGTATTCTTAATCTGAAGATGCATTTCATGTTTCCGCCACCACATTTCCAAAAGAAGTGTATTGAAATATTGATTTATCATGGGAGGTAAAATTCCAACAGTTTATTAAAAGAGAAGTGCTGTCATCTTACAATTTTGAAATTTTGCAGCATATTATTTTGTTGAGTCAGATAAACAAGTTGATGTTGATGGCCATATGAATGCATCCAGTCAAAATGTTGGACGTGCTCACTTCAAGACTAATAATGTTGGTGGTGTCAAACACTAAACTTTGGGTATTAATTATGCATTTGGTATTAAATCATGCCTAAATGTCTGCTGGCATTTAGAGACTCATTATTTCCTGACCTTGTAGCATGTTAGATTAAAATGGCGCTTCACAACACGGTCCTAATGCTATAAAGAAGCAATGTGCATGTTGACTGCATAGAATCAACACTTGAGGAAAAGTGGACAGCAAATAGAAATGGATAAAATGGAGGGGGGAAGGAAATTAAGCTTTTTGTTGACCCTAAGGATACACACTGAGTCATTCTGTTGTGCTTTGTTATTTATATTTCCATACAGTAGCAAAGAGCTTATAAATATAATTCGGTTTATGAATTCCACCAATTAATAGCTGAATACGCTCGGTTATTTTATTCTATTTATTTACAGGGCTGTACATGGTGTTTATTTACCAAGCCTCCTCCTCATCCTTAAGAAACCCTCACAGGATCTAGAAAATTGAAGCCATTATTGATTGGTCACCAACTCCCTCCTTCTGGGGCAAGGTCCTTGAATGGGTGGTCACAGACCAGAAATCCAGGCTGAAACAAATTTTCTAGATCCATTTCAAGCTGGGTTCAGGTCCGGCTTGGGTATGGAAACCGCCTCAGTTGCCCTGTAGGAAGTTCTCTGTCAGGAGAGAATCTGAAGAAGCCTGTCCCTTTTAGCCCTGATCTCTCAGTGGCTTTCAATACCACGACTGTGGCATTTTTCTGGAGAGACAGGTGGGTGGCAGGGTCAGCCTAGCCATTGGGTAGGGTGAGGCCGCCATCTCGGGGCGGAGAAGCGGTACCAATTTCCAGCAAGGTCTCGTCAAGATCATGCGAGATCTTGCAGAGCATGAGAGATCTTGCCTGAAATCAGCACCAGTACCCGTGCGGCGAGGCAGGAAGTCACTTTCCATTTCTCCTCGAGTGGCGAAACAGGATGAGGGCCCCTGGGGGATGGCATCCCTCAGTCGTGTTTCCAGGTCTACTTGGATGTTGTTTTCATGAGGTGGTGCTTGGGGACTGATGTTTGGCCCCGTGGAGCCTTCAGTTCAATTTTATCTCTCATGCTGCTTAACATCTGTGTCAGGGAAGTGACTAATAAATTTAAATAGTAACAATAATAACAATAAAATTCCAGCTGGTACAGATTTCTTGCCTTTGCTGCTTGTGTCTCAGTTCCTGATGTTGAAGATCTGCTTCTTGACAATATTTCCCTGGTTTTGGGGTGTATTGCCAATGTTGGTGATTTGAGCTCTAAAAAGAGCAAAGAGAGAGTCATTGCAGAAGACCTTAGGCTTATCTGAAATTTGCTTGTTATATTTTTGGTTAATCAGCTCTTTGTGCAATTTGTATAAACACAGTATAGATTTTCTAAACTTAAATACCATTAAAAATGCTTTGGAGTAAAGCAGAAATTGCACTCCCCTCCCTTTTCCCTTTCTGAAGATCTGCTGCTACTACTCACACCAGATTTAACTTAAAGGGAGGTTGTTTGTTTGTCTGCAGGTATATTTCTATGTGACAGCTGTTCTTTTAGACCCTGGGGCCTGCTATTAATTCTGAGAAGTCAGAAACACATCCATCTCATCAACACTAAGAATTATTGCTATCCTTTGATGAGTTTTCATTATTAGCATTTCTCAGAGGCAATGGTGACTGAAATTTACAGCACTGTTTGGTCTCATAAGACAAGAAGGTTTCATAAATGCTGCCAGATGTTACCCAGTTGAGCTTCTGTGCAGTGAGAAAATCGTCTTTAGAGGGGACTGTAAAATCATCTTTGGAGGGGCCTGCTAATGTGGTTATGGAGATTTTGGTTTCACATAGAAGCCAGAGTGTGAGACCCTGTCAATTTCAGGACTGTGACTGGAATACATAATGACCACACCAGTCAGAACCTAGTCAATACATTCTTATCAATTTAGTGGGGGAAGCCGACTAAAAAGCAAAGGATTGTGCGAGCATAGCCTTACAATAATTTATAATTCTTGCCTGTTCTCCTTTGATAATCACATTTATAAAATCATAGAATACCGTAGAGTTGGAAGGGAACACGAGGATCATTTAGTCCAACCCCCCTGAATATTTTGCCCAATGTGGGGCTCAAACCCATGACTCTGAGATTAAGAGTCTCATGCTCTACAAACTGAGCCGCAAGCAAATGTTTTAAGGTATGAAGAGTGCCAGTATTGTTGTTTAGTCGTTTAGTCGTGTCTGACTCTTTGTGACCCCATGGACCAGAGCACGCCAGGCACTCCTGTCTTCCACTGCCTCCCGCAATTTGGTCAAACTCATGCTGGTAGATTCGAGGACACTGTCCAACCATCTCGTCCTCTGTCCTCCTTTGGGGCATTAAAGAGGGGGGGGGAATGCTACTACAACTGTGTTGAAGGTGTTAGGTCACGAAAGAACTATTCCAGGCTTTAAGAAGATTATTTATTTATTTACTTCTGCATTTGTTTGCATCTTTATTGGTATTTATTGGTACTTTATTTATTTGCTCCCTCGGCCAATAAAGCGAGATGAGCGCCGCAACCCCAGAGTCGGCCACGACTGGACCTAATGGTCAGGGGTCCCTTTACTTTTACTTTACTTATTGGTATTTAAAAACTAATAGCGTAAAATAATTGTAGCATTTCCATTGTAAATGGAAAATATAAGCTGCGCTGTTGCATGTAAATACTCAACTGTCCTCTTTAGTTGGCATCCCTGAAAACTGTTTGTGTAGTGCAGTTGATTAGTGCAATTTGAACTAAATGGATTTCAGCATAAATTAGGTTAAGTGTAAAAATTTGGGAAGGTTTCAGTCCCCCCCAAAAAAATTCTCTATTATTTTGCTCAGATAAATAGTACAATCCAGATAAAATTAAGCATTCCCTTGCTGCAGGGATGGGAGGAATTTGACCCAGATTAGAGCATGACAGGAGGGAGGTATAACTCCTAAACTCTAGAGAAGCTATTTGCTGATCTGCTGTTCCAGTTCTGATTGGAGCGCCGGCGACAGCTTTTGCAAAAAAGAAAAAACAACAGTATTATTTGTTTGTTTGTTTGTTGAATTTATATACTACCCTATACCCGAAGGTCTCAGGGCGGTTCACAGAACAAAAACAGAATATAAATCCATCATATATATAATCAAAATAAAAACAACAACCTCAAAAAACCAGCACATTTTAAAAGGGCACAGGATGTCAGTCAAATTGAGAGAAGAGGCACATAAACAAATAATAATATTGCACTTGAAGTAAAACAAAAAAAACCTCAACAGGAAGTTGAGCAGCAGCCTGTTGTACACATGCTTTTTAAAAAGTGTATGTGTAATGTACTGTGTTCTTTGGCCCTCAGTGAACAGCTGGAAGTTACGTTTAAAAAACAAAACAGATGATCGTCAATATAGATATGTTAGATATACATTCAGATTGTAGTAGTTAATTCATTACTATGCTGGATGAGTACAGTGGTACCTCAGGTTACATACACTTCAGGTTACATACGCTTCAGGCTACAGACTCTGCTAACCCAGAAATAGTGCTTCAGGTTAAGAACTTTGCTTCAGGATGAGAACAGAAATCGTGCTCCAGCGGCGCGGCAGCAGCAGGAGGCCCCTTTAGCTAAAGTGGTGCTTCAGGTTAAGAACAGTTTCAGGTTAAGAACGGACCTCCAGAACGAATTAAGTACTTAACCCGAGGTACCACTGTATTTGGAAAGAGTAATTTATCGTTACCTAGGAAAGATTCTAAAAAAAATTGGCCACATGTAGAAAAGCTATGTTCAGTTCTAGAGAACAGAGGAACCAGATGTTGGGAAGAGTCAAAGTAGTACACAGTACATAGCTGAGCTATGGAATCTTGTTGCCACAAGATGTGTTGATGACCACCAACTTGGACAGCTTTTAAAAGATTAAAAGGAAAGGCCACCAATGGCTACAAGTCATGGTGGCCAGATTACCTCCAACATTGAAAGCAGCAAAATACCTTTCGCTGGAGTTCATGTGTAGGAGAGGGCATTTGTGCCCATGTTCCGCTCCTGGACTTCCCTACAGGTATCTGGTTGGCAACTGTGAGAACAAGATGCTGACTATAAAGGCTGTGGGTTGGATCCAGGAAAGCTTTTATAGATCCCTGGCTTGCACTCTTTGGATCCGTGGGACTCTTTCATAAACTTGAATATACCTAATATATATGTATTAACACAGCATATCTTGAAATCTAGTGGACATAGCTGAGCATATCCTGAAGCATATCACCTCATCTGTCTCCTGAGAAATCTCTATGTGGGGCAAGAAGCTACAGTTAGAACTGGATATGGAACAACTGATTGGTTCAAAATTGGGAAAGGAGTACGACAAGGCTTTATATTGTCTCCCTGCTTATTTAACTTATATGCAGAATTCATCATGCGAAAGGCTGGGCTGAATGAATCCCTAGCCGGAATTAAGATTGCCGGAAGAAATATCAACAGCCTCAGATATGCAGATGACACACCCTTGATGGCAGAAAGTGAGGATGAATTAAAGAACCTTTTAATGAGGAGAGCGCATGAGGATGAATTAAAGAACCTTTAAAGAGGAGAGCGCAAAATATGGTCTGAAGCTCAACATCAAAAAAACAAAGATCATGGCCACTGGTCCCATCACCTCCTGGCAAATAGAAGGGGAAGAAATGGAGGTAGTGAGAGATTTTACTTTCTTGGGCTCCGTGATCACTGCAGATGGTGACAGCAGCCACAAAATTAAAAGACGCCTGCTTCTTGGGAGAAAAGCAATGACAAACCTAGACAGCATCTTAAAAAGCAGAGACATCACCTTGCCAACAAAGGTCCGTATAGTTAAAGCTATGGTTTTCCCAGTAGTGATGTATGGAAGTGAGAGCTGGACCATAAAGAAGGCTGATCGCCGAAGAATTGATGCTTTTGCATTATGGTGCTGGAGGAGACTCTTGAGAGTCCCATGGACTGCAAAAAGATCAAACCTATCCATTCTTAAGGAAATCAGCCCTGAATGCTCACTGGAAGGACAGATCCTGAAGCTGAGACTCCAAGACTTTGGCCACCTCATGAGAAGAGAAGACTCCCTGGAAAAGACCCTGATGTTGGGAAAGATGGAGGGCACAAGGAGAAGGGGATGACAGAGGACGAGATGGTGGACAGTGTTCTCGAAGCTACCAGCATGAGTTTGACCAAACTGCGGGAGGCAGTGGAAGACAGGAGTGCCTGGCGTGCTCTGGTCCATGGGGTCACGAAGAGTCGGACACGACTAAATGACTAAACAACAACAACAATATATATGTATTAGCATAGCATATTTTGAAATCCAGTGGATATAGTTGATCATATCCTGAAGCAAAGTAAAAAGAGCTGGTGGCGCTGTGATCTGATTGATTGATTGATTGATCTTTATTACGGCCATTGGCCCGTCACACGACAGTTTCCCATACCAACATAATGTACATGAACCTCCAAATTTAAAACCGTCAAAACTTACAAAAAACAGACAAGAACCAAAGCAGAACAAAAACAAAAGACCAACATCATATGTTGCAATAAATTTGTAACATAACCATCACCATCTGCTCACAGATCAATAAAAGACATCAATGGTGATTCACCTAGTTACATCCTAAAACATAGATCATGGTTTAAAGGGATTTTCCGAGCCACACAGGAGTCCGTTTCTCTTCTTTAGGGATAGGACACTGATCAAGAATCTGGCAACCGTGAGTGATCTTAGGGGTCATCATCATTTAATAGATATCTCAGTTTGGCTTCATTCGTATCATCGGCAATTCCCTTTAGATATTGGGCAAGAAACTTGCTCCTGGCCGATGAGTGAAAAGCACAGTCAAAAATTATGTGATGCAACGATTCCGGTGCCCCACAATTACAATCACATAAGAGCGATATCTGTCCATTGGAGAATCTATTTCTCAGCATGTTCGATGGGAAGGTGTTGAATCTTGCCTTTACAAAGGCATATCTATGAGCCGAAGAAGTTAAGGAATTCAAATAGTTTGGGAGCCTTAAGAGGGGTGATAAACCAAGGTTTAGAGGTGAGCAGGTACCATTGCCCAAGACCATTTTCTGCTGCAAGTCCATCTCCTCTAGTTTACAGGTTACTGTTCTTTTAGCTGGAACTATGTCCTGCTCTAGTAATTTGGATGGGGAGATTCCCATTGTCATTATTTTCAGCTGTAAATTTTTACCCATGGGCTCTGGAAATCATCTCTCCACATACATTGTATCAAGTACAAGTTTGGGAGATTGTGCCATAGAGATAACCAGTGACAAAGTATGTGCTTCCACAGAGCGTTTTCCAGGGATACAGTATTAAGTTCCATGCGTAACGCTGTATTACTTACACAGTTGGGCAGTTTCAATATCCCTCTTAAAAACTGATTTTGAATAACCTCTAGGTGAGATAGATTGACAAAAGTCCCCCAAATTGAGATGGCATAGGCAATTGTCGGGATCACCTTGGCCTTGAAGACTTTCAACGCCGATGGGATATGAAGAGCCCCATCGGTGAAGAAGAATCGCAAGATCGCCAAGGAGATAGCTTTGGCTCTATTTGTAACATAGGCTACATGGGCCTTCCATCTAAGGTTATGTTGTAACCAAACTCCCAAGTATTGGAATCTATAGACTTGTTCGATGACTCTCCCATCAATTCTCCAATTATGGAGTTTCCGGCTCTTTGAGAAAATTAGAATCTTAGATTTTCCATAATTAATTGTAAGGGAATTTGCGTTACAGTACGATCCAAAAATTTTTAAGGCCCTCCTGAGACCTACTCTAGAAAAGGAAAGGATGACTGCGTCATCCGCATACAGTAACAAAGGGCAGCGATAAAGTGCTAGGCGGGGTGCATGAATCCTTTCTTGAGCCTCTATTAGGGAGTCCTCATATCGCTTATGAATAAGTTGAACAGGAATGGAGCCAATATACAACCCTGTCGGACACCTCTGTTAATGGGAATTGGATTGGTGAGATCACCCTCCGGGGTGAGTCTCACTCTAGCCGCTGAGTTCTCATGGAGTTTGATTATTAGCCAGAGAAGCCTTCTATCGATGCCCCAGCGGGAGAGTTTTTCCCAGAGGATGTTCCTGGGGATACTATCGAATGCTGCCTTTAGGTCAATGAATGCCACACAGAGTTGGCCACCCT